AGTGGTTTAGTCAAGCATTGCAACAATTGCAGTGTCCTACACCCTTCACTTTCTGATCATCAACATAATAAATACCTGTGGTCTCTTTTCCATTTTCATCTGTCTCTCCCGACACATCAATTACATGTATGAGTACATCGGCATCCAGAAGATCATTCAAGAACTTATTTCCTTTGCCTCTCCCCTCACATGCACCCGGAACCAGCCCAGCTACATCTTTTAGCAGAACTGGTACATAACGATTACCAGCTGCATCATGTCCAAATGCTGCTTGGCACTTGTTGGTAAAAGAAGAGCATGGGCAAGGTATAGAGTAGAACCCTTTTCCAATGTTTGGCTCTATTGTTGTGAAAGGATGGGCAGCAATCTTAGCAGAGTTTTGTTGCGTTGCTGCATTAAAGAAAGTAGACTTTCCAGCAGATGGCTTTCCTGAAAAAAGTAWCAAATATTTGAGTTTAGCTTGGGCACGTTATTTTCTTTCAATTATTCTTGGGATGATGTAATGTACAATATAGATGTCATGTTGGTTGACGATAACAAGCATCCCTCATTAGCATCTCTTGTTGGATCAACCAACATGGGGGCTGTTCTTTTTTGCTTAATTATATCTCAAGGGATTTTGAGTGATGTGGTTGCCAGGGCTGTCAACTCTCCCGGATAAACCAGGAGTCTCCAGATTTTGGACCGTATCTCCCGGTTTCCAGATTAGAGTCTCAAATCTCCCTGATAATCCCCAAAGCTGACCATTTCTTGTGAGCCTGTACTTTTACAACCATAAAATTCCAATTATTTTGTGTTATTTGTGTTATTTTAAACCACTAACAAAATCAAAACGTTCCTCATAAACTGTTCTTCAGGGGCAGCGGAAGCTGAAAAATTTTGGGGGGGCACTCCAATATTTCACGGTACCTTGAAATGACCCCCCCCCTCCCTGTTTGGCTTGATTACAAACGTGTATGTGTGATATTTCAATCAGTAACATTTTGCGCGCATTAAACCACTTGCAATTGTGCTGAGAGACACAAAAATGATACAAGTCTTCGCTAGATATATCGTATATTTTTTAGATACAGAAAATTATGTAATATCAAAATAATAAATAATGGTAATCATAACCAAATCTCATGCGTTTTTTTTTTT